TATCAGTGCCGCTATCGATAACCAATTTATGCATAAATGTACATAGCAGATTGCCCTTTTATACTTTCGGTATTTGCTGAACTTCATTTGAGTATGTAGCATCAACGCCAACCATTGTCTTCAAATGGCTTTGAATATTACACTGCTGAGCTACCACTGACTGATGCAGTAGCAACACCAGATTATCCACAGCCTCAGTGTCTGTGTCACTCATGGGCATAGAGCCAAACCCTTCCTGCAGCCTGAAATTGGAGCAGCTTTATCAAGGCCCTGTCTTGAGACCATCCCGTTTAGATTTTGCTTCATAGAAGCATGTCGGGAAGTCAGCCACACTAGGACAAGTTAGATGATACTGAACTGCAAAGTTGTGATGACCACTTGACATTCTTCATCATTAGAAGATATAGTTTAATTTTAAAATGCAATTTTTAAACAAAACCATTTTCCACTTATTTCATAATCTGAAGTTCTAGAAGCATCAGCTTAATCTTTACAGTCACATCATCAGTTTTTGTCCATCATCTTTTTGCATGCACACGACTGCTGAGATCAATGTTTTATCCTTTAAGAAGGTTGTTATGATACTTCATAGTACTACAATAAATGCATTAATTTAAAAGCTGTTATGTCCCCATATATGGAGGGGACATACTACCACATACCACCATGAAGGTAGAAATAGGCTGAATACTACTCAAATAGGAATGTCATACTGGAATTGCTGAACAGTCAATTGAAAAAAATTTAGCTTTATTCTGAATCAAAATGAAACATTCATAAAGTTCCCATAAAAAGTTCAGTGCTTCGTTTTTCCAAAGTGCAAAACCAAATTCATAAATGAGACATTTCACAGCATTTCAGTAGAGGTACATGTTATTGCAACTTGTATTGGTGAATATTGCAAGTAAAAATACAGTTTAAAGTATTATAACCCACATTTCTGAAACTGAACTTTCAATTTCAAAACGACAGCACTAGTATTTTTCAAAGACACTATGGCAAACATTTTTGAAAAATATCTTTGACCACCTCTGCTCTTGAGCACCACAACAGACTTTCAGGCTGAACGCAAACAAAGCAACTACCTGCCAATTCTGGTTTCCATAAAGAGCCTAGGGAACGACATCAATTTATGTTAAAGGTAATGTGGAATTCAGAGTCAGTGTTGGGGCTACAAAACCATCAACGGTGAGCCCATAGTATTTACACAGCTGCGAGTTTAGGTCCAAGTTTTTATAAAACTTACTTATTTTAAACAAAGAGAACACTGATGGGATCTGGCTGTCATCCCAAGACAAGTATATCATCATCTAAGATCTCCTTCAAATTGAGACTATCTAGATCCAAGTAAAAATACTGCATTTTTATGCTATTAGTAGAAGAGAAACACAAATAAAATGCTTGACTGTCAGGTAGTTTTCACCTTCCTGTGAACAAGCACACAGAAGAAATTTGGATCATATTGAGAAATTATTATAGTAGTACAAATTGAACCATGTCATTAGTTCTCCTGTCACCTGCATGCTATGACTATTGTGGGTTTTTAATAACGTGCACTGAAGAAACTGCACTAACATAAGACAATTCAACAGTTCTTTCAAACAAGACATGATTTCAGCCATTTTAGCTTAAAGAGCATATAGGCTTTCTAGCAATGGAGCAGATAACTGAGAAATACCTCACTGCTCACACACGACGCATTCATGCACGCTGAACTTTTAAGCAGATTCCAGGACCTGTAACAAGGAGGTTTTAAATGAGATCAACAGCAGGGACTGCATACCTCTTTGCGATAGCATAATACAATGTGTCTTTGAAATATGGGAAAGCTAAGTCAGACAAGGTATGCTCCTGTGTTACCCAGGGAGAACTTTCCAAGAGCAGTTGAATGCGGTCCCTTTGCTGCCCAAACAGGGAATACTGAGGAAGTGAAATTTCTGAACTGAGTAGATTGGTGTTCCATTGGTCATTTGCCTTTCCTTCACTGAAGTTCTCTCATTTTCCTATTTTGCTTTACATGGGACACAAAAGCAGAGCTTCTATTAGCATACATTTACAAATTCAATCTAATTTCTCTCTGCAAGTGCCAAAACCTTCCTAATAGTCTTCCTTAAGTAAGAGCTCATCATCAAATTAAAGTGAACCAAAGATAACAAGTTAGTAGAATGTATATGTTTCAGCACAAAACCACGTAATGGTTTAGACCCATTTTCTTTTTATTAATAATATAAGGTTCTATAATCTCTCAACATTACAACTGAGGTTTTACAGTTAATCTCACACTAAAATAACAAGCGGTTTGGCTTTATTTGCAGAAAGTTAAGTTATCTTGGTAAAGAAACATTTCCAAGATTGAGAAGCAAACTGTGTTTTCTGGATTTCAGTGCTAACGTATCCCTGCCTTTGAAATTTGTTTCAGTTAATTCACATTGCTATGGAAGAACTATTTGGCCTGGCCTCTGTTCACAGCTGTAAGGCAAAGATGACACCTCTAACTCAGCAATATACTGTAAGTTAGGCAAGAAGAGTCACATTTTTCTTTGACTGTAAGACTTAGACCCTGGATCAGTTTCTAACAGATTTTCTTCTTCCACCTCAAAACTTTTATAAAGGTCTCTTTAATGTAAATACATTTCACAGTCAACCCATACTCACTCTGCACCTTTCCCTCTTCAAAGAGCACAGAAGCTGTGTAATTGGAAGTCATGACAAGATTAATTAAAATTGCTTGTAACTTACATACAGCCAAAATAGTTGAGTAAGTGAAAAAGTAATGTGTTATGCCAAGATATGCTTCTGATCTGCATGGATCAAACTCCATCTCTGAACGGGCTGCAGCTAGGGGAAGTGAAGTCTCTAGAAAAGAAGTAGAGAATACAGAACGAAGAGTGGTGGAAGAATGGTAATGATGCATGTGTATCTAGGTCTCTGAAACTTGCATAACACTTTATTTTGATTACAAATTTAAATGCAAAGTTAAAGACAGTCACCAATACGTGTGTTTCAACTGCAGTTTCGCTAAGCTCTGACCAGTTTGTAAGACAGAAAAATACTTATGAATAGTGTGGCAATTAGGAAAAAAAAACCAACAAAAAAACAACTACAACCAAAAACATAGCCATTACAGTCATAGTTAATCTTTTCCTCAGAGCTATCCAGTGACATTGCTCTGGGACCCTTAGAGCCTGTTATTTCACCTTCCCAGAGGACAACTGACATGCAGTAAAAACCTTTACTGCATTTTAAATCACTTCAGAAGCCAGTAGCTATTTAAAGGTTAGAAATAGAGAGTATAAGTGTTTTTGTCTGTGTATCTTTACACACAGAAAACGGCTAAGGAAACCATAGTTAGAAAATTAAGTAGAGTCCTCTTGTACTTATATTAAGATTGTAACAGACTGGTATTACTGAGCCACAACTACTTGTTTGTGCTGTTGTTCTGCAAAAAGGCTTCACACACTTTCCTTCAAAATTGATTCTTCATAGTTAGACATACACTTTCACTGAGGCACATAGACACTACTCTTCATATTTACCAACTCCTAGAAAGGTCTCTGTTTCAGAGCAATACAAGTCATCAGCAAGATGCCAGCTGTGGCCATGTAGTCACCCATAGAGCAGCACGCAAGATAAGGAAGTCCCCTACATAAACACATACAGGTTCACTCTGCTGAGACACCATTGTGTACGTAGGGAACACTTAACAACAGTGCAAAGGCTCAGCTCCCTAAACCAGACTACTCCTATATTGTTCGGTTGCTGCCGAAATACAAACTCTGGGGGCCAGAAGCAAAAATACAAAAGAATAGATTTTTATGTTGAAATGTTGCGAAACAAAACCCATTTGAAATAAATCCAGCTGCATTGCAAATATCACATTAATATTCTGTTTCATGACTTAAGGAAAACATTTTATGATCCACAAGTACCTTGACAGCGTGTATTTTAAAGGGGTTTTGAGTGTTTGTGTTTTTTGATAATTTGAATTATAGCATTGAAATTAGTCTTTAAACAAGTTCAAAGTTGTCTGATATGCAGTATTTTTCAAGCATTTTATACTTTAATATATTACGAAAACTGAGAGCGAATTAGACAGTATTCTAAAATAGTTCAGAAACAAAATGCAATTTCATCTTTTTCTCCTCATTAAGGGCACTACCAGTACAAAAGGTGTCCAAACTGACACTACAGGTGGGAAGCTGTTGGCTACAGAGACCGTGTCCTCAAAGGGTAGTCTGTATTTTTTCTAGCCTATGCAGTCATATACATGAATTATCAAAAAGTTGGATAATTTGCTTTAAGAAAAGAACCCACCTTAAAAATGGACCATGAGTATTGATAAATACTTTTAGTTTTACTGATTAACATTCAAGTTTAAGTGTAAAAATGCTTATTCTCACACGATACTGCTCAAGAAAATATTTCATTTTCTTAAAGTTTAATGGACAATTACAACTGTGGCTACTAGTGAAGTGAATGACTCATAAAGGCCATATGAAACCATACAAAACTAAAAAGGGAAATCTCACTTTCAGGATGACAGTATGTTGTCCACTTAAATGTTTTATTAAACTGTTAAGACTGTTTCAAAAGACAGTGCTGGGCAGTTTCAGTTGAATAGCCAAAACATTATTTTTAACTGAAAAAGATTATTTTGCATCTCTGCAAAATAAACAAACAGGAGCAAAACCCATACACACTAGGACTGAAGTACAGATGAACACAAAGTTTTGTTACAAACCTGTTTTCAACATACAGTGAGAAATGTCCATTGTACAAAACTTAGTGACTGACCTACAATTAATTTAAGATTATCCCAGCAATGCAAATACAACTCAGAACAGCTCAATTGTGTATGAAAAGAGAGACTACTGAGTTTTTAGGCATAGTTTGAATTACATAGTCTTTTTTTGATCAAAGCCTACATTTGTACTTAAAGTATTTGGTGGTTACAAGTCTGTTACATACTTAATCCTTCAGTACAGTGAAGTACTCCTTGGTGTTCTCTCATCTGTCTCTTTAGCAGCTTTCATTTAGCAAAAGGCTGGGTTGAGCAGCTGCTTCCGTAGAAAACACTGTTGTCAGTCTTTGTTCTCCTTCCAGGGGAGGCTTTAGTAAGAAACATCTGGCAGTATCCAGCATTGAAACTACTGTCAACTGTGTTGCCTAACCAAACTTGGAAAACCAAGTTTGCATTTCCTGCTTGGTAATAAACTCTTAAACAACCCACTGGGCACAAAGTGTAAGAGCATGGTAAGTAAAAATCCATAAACATTAACAGTGATGATTACACTTTATTGGGGGGAGGGGAAGAGGGTAGCAAAAAAAAAAAAAAAATAAAAAAAAAAAATCAAAGTAAGTCACTAGTTTTCAAAGTTTAGTCTATGTTATATTTGATTACTGGGATATCAGTACAATGAAAGTGGAGGGTTTTCAACAGTAATTTTGAAGAAGTTTTAGGACATCATGTTGTGCAGGGCTTTATAAAAGATTTTTGTTTCCAAAGATGTTATTGGGGTCCACATATTCTTTAACGGATCTCAGCATTCCCAGGCCAACATCAGAGATGCTCTCCTTCATCCAGCGCTTCCGCAATTTGCCTACTGGAAAAACAAAACCAAAGTGTTTCAATATATGGCAAGATTGTAGGAGCCAATCAATCTTGTGACCGTGAATGAATAAACACTGTGTGATAAATGCTTTTATTCAAAAATGAGAAATGTTTTGCTTTATTTGATTTATTGAGCCCACCAGACTATCAAGCTCATTAAGCTCAGCATACTCCCAGAGGAAGACTGTGTTCCACACTGTCTACTTTCTTTAGAAACTGAAATTTAGATGAAGCTTAGGCTGAAATCATGTTCTATTAAAATACAGAATCAATAATAAGTTTTAAAAAGCCACCAAACTGATTTTAAGTAGGAAACTGTACAGGGGATTACTAAAAAGCAGAACCCCTTGATTACTTTAAAGTGCGAACAACTCAATAATCTAACTTAAGCCAATACTGGTTTAAATAGAAGAAAAAAAAAAAAAAAGAAAAATAAAAAAGTGTTTGCTAAGGAGAAGGCTTAAAACCTAGTTTTAAATCAAAAAAATATCTTACTTCATTCAAAAACTTTTACACAGGCTGGTAATTGCTCATATCATTAATTACATAAGAGGTTAGTTTTCCCATCTAAAAATGGATATTCACAACATACACCAAATACAAAGGAAGGCTGAAACACCACCCATTTAAGAACTCATTTCACTGAAGTCTCACAATAGTCCTGTTCAATGGCCGAGTGTTCACTTCCTAATTAACCAAGTCATCAACTCTGATTTAACAGATCATTCAAAATAAAGGACATTTTTTTCATTAAACACACTCTAGCATTTAACTTGTCAGCCTGAAACACAATCCATTTGTCAGTATGATGCGATATAGTAAAGGTTTGAGAGACAGATGCTTTAAGAGTATCTGAAGCTAAATTCAAGCCATCTTTTGTGCCCTGTTCTCAGGGTAACCATCAAACTGTCATCTGAATAATAAATTACAGGGACACCTCTGGAGAACAGAGTATATTTGTTTATACCTTAAGGAATATGAGCTAGTCACATGCTAACTAAAAAAGAAAATAATGTGAGAAAGAATGAAATTTGCAGTTTGCTAGAAAACTACTATTAGGAGCATGCGCGTCAAGAGCAAAGATGATAACTGAAGGACAAAATAATTTGTCATGTGGTAGGAACTGTGGTTGCATTCTGCAGCCCAGCTCAAGAAAGAAAGACAACAAAAAGCAAAAACCCATCTGTGAATATACCATCACTACAATTTGACTGTCTGAGCAAGTTGATGTAGTTAAATTTTATCTGGGGAACTTTAATACTACTGATAAAAAAAAAGAATCATGGATGTGGCTTGACCATCACTTCAGGTCACTCACACTGGCTCCTACACAAGCAGCTGAAGAACAGTCATTACCATTCTCAACTGTTATCTGTAATATAGTTTCAGTGAATGTGTCCTGTGGTTATGGATGTAATTGTCCTGAAAAGACTGCAAACAACTGCTCCAACAAGATGGAGCACATTAGAATCACAGCAGGATGCCCAACAGCTAGCATGCCTGCCTCTTTTACACCTCCAGTAATAATGCAATTCCACAAGGAACTGAACTACTGTCTGAGCAGCACCAAACAGTCGTTGCATATTTAATGAAGTCGCTCACCAAGTGCTGGAAAACAGAAGGTGTTTGGAGTGCATCATTAGTTCTGTCAAAGTGATAATTTACACATCTATCTTGTCAAATTTTCTATGGTTTACACTTTTGCAATAATAAATCTAACATACATTTGATTAGTGAACTGGAAAGAAAAAAAGCTGTACTACAGTTACCAGCAGTCCTTCACAAACATGTTCAATGAAAAGATTTTAACCCCTTGCTAGCAGTAGGTTGAGCCTCTGCTCCTACTGTTCACATCAATAAGATATACATAGATTTTTCAGCTACTGATGTTTTCATATTAATTAGAGTTAAAAAGCATTGAAGCAATCTCACTCTTGGAATTCTATGCTGGTCCATCTGATTAAATGGAAAAATACAGCAAGTGAAGGAAAGGCTGTGTGCAGCTGAGAGCACCACTTAGAATAGCAATGTTTGTATTTGTTTCACTTCAGGTTAGTGCTGCCCTATAGTATCCTCCTCCTTCTCCATAGGATGACCAAATTAGCTTTAAAAATGAGAAAAGAAAAGGAGGAAGAAAATACCATAATAGTAAAAGATGTTACCATGAAGGCAGAAATAACTCCAAATGGCAAAGTTGCTGAACTACACTCTAAGCCTAGCCAAAGAACAGGTCAAAAGGAAGCATTAGTTTCCCCAACAATAAAAGGTTCCAGTTAAACCTGATCTTACCGTGGACTACAGAAAGCCACCTTTCCATTTCTAGCCTAGAGAAAGTAGATGTTTTAGTTTTAGGACTAGCTGATGCCATTTATCTGGAACTGACATGTGACAATATACAGAAACAAATTTTATCCAAGCATCTACCACCTATGGGCGCTCAGCCTTGTATATTTTTCCCAATTAAGAAGTGAGACTAAACTCACCTGATTCTATATGCTACATCATAACATTATTAAGGTTCTCAAATCAGCATAATATTGTACAATCAATTTGTAATAGCTTAACAAGTGACTACTTGTCAAGTCAGCTATACACATTACACACACAATCCTTGGTGACCCAACTAGAAACAAATACAGCCCTTCCATCTTGCATCTTCTTCCTCTGAAGACACCTAATCTTGCATCTTAATTATCAAAGATGAAGTGCAACAGAATTAGTTTTCAAGTCTTACAAGTGGCAAGTGCCCTGTTCCTGGTGCGCTGAGCAGCCTAACACCTTAAAACATTCACTGCTAGGAAGCCAGAAGTCCTCAATCTGAAGCCCAGCCTACTACATGAAGTACAAACACCCTCATGGAGTCTAACTTCACACTAAATATTGCAGACTCAAAAAGCCAAGATGCTTGTTCAGTAGCAACTCTCAAAGACAGTCCAACACCAATTTAATTTTTGCAGTATTTTCAAGTTTTATCATTGTCTTAGTCCATGTATGAAACAAAAACACTCGAGCTGGATAAAAATCTTTTTCCCAGTTCTGATACTGGGAATGCTGGTCCAGCACTTTGCTGGTTTCATTAGAAAAGTTGTTTGTGCTTCCAGTGCTCTTTTAATCTGTCAAGGAATAAACTACACTTCGGTGAAGTACAACCATACTCTATGCTGCTCCTGTAGAACTCGTCCTTTTGAAAAAACAAAGCCAAGCAAATGTGTATGGACATTAGATTCTCTGCCAAAAGTGAGAACAGTTCCCATGTGCTTTTTGGTTTTTTCTTCAGAAAAAATGATAGGCAGCACATACCTGCTGGCCACAAAGATGATAAGATGCGAGTACAGCTCTCTTGGGTCATGAAAGTTACACTTGCTAATTCTTGAAAATGCATTGGATGGCTGCAAAAAGGCTGGTTGCCAAGGATGGACCTAGCGAACAGCAGGCAGCAATTGCTTTTCTCACTTCTGGAATATAAAGTACTTGGGTACATATGAACAATCTTGTAAGGAAAGTTTTAATGGAATTGATGGAACCCAGGAGTGTGACTCTGCACCCATGCAGAAGAGATGTATAGCTCTGCATGGTCCCAGTGGAAATAGGCCACAGGGACACTGCACATGGCTCTGGACTTTCTCTGCTCCAGACCTTCCAACTCAAAGAGACAGTTACTGCAGAACAATAGGTTTGCAAAAGGAGAAGCAGAAAGAAGTCATAAGAAGGATGGGGACCTTCCTGAAGGGGACTGAAAGCATCTCTCAGCTCTTAGAAATTGCTGAACACTTCCAGAGAAAACTGCAATACTGAGAAAGGTCAGTGCATTGATCCAATACTGTGGTAGTGCTGGAATATATTGGACCAGCATACCTGACATCTGCTATGTAATTAATTAAGTTACAATCACTGTAACATCTTGCACATTTTCACTTGATATCTAAACAACTTAGATGTTGATGAATCAAAATCCTTCGCATTTCTTTCGTGGAAAAAGCACTGAAGATGGCTATTCTATTAAGACTTCCAACTGACTAAGGAAGACAAGACAACTGCATTATCACATAAGGTTACCCTCCATGCCTAACCAATGTCACAGTTTAAACTAAATCTAGTCAGCACAGCAAGCTCTAGTTTTAAAATCATAGTATCTAGTTTTAAAGTCAGTCTCCAGGTAAGATGATAATGTTCCTGCATAGAGGAGAAAAATGTGTTCAACTTCCCCCATAAGGGAATTTTATATTTCCAGATTTTGTAGTTTATGTGGGTTAATTACTTCAGTGTATAGTTAAGCCACAGCCTCTTAATGATGGCCAAAGAATTGCAATGTCAAACATGCAAGTGAATGCAGATAAGGTGTCGGGGTTTTGGTTTTTTGTTTGTTTGGTTGTTGTTGTTTTCTGTTGCTTGTTTTTGGGTTTGTTTTCTTTGGGGGGTTTGTTTTGTTTTGGTTGGTTGGGTTTTTTGTGGGGGGCTTCCTCCCCTCCCCCCCTTTTTTAGTTTTTCTGCATAAACTGCCAGGAAATTGATGCTATACCTAAACCTGTGGAATCTGGTCTACCTGGTTAACCTTTACTCTAGGCAATTTGTCTAGAAAGTGGAAGAAAATTAGTTCTATTACTTTAAGTGGCTAAATGGGGGTATTTCCCTCAAACCCATAAGCTAGTAATTGCTTCCTTAAGTAACCAGTTTTAGTTAAAACATTCCCTGCAAGGGAAGCAATCTATCATTAAGTTTTTATACTCTTCCTTAGTTTTACATGGGTGCTTAGCTTGGTAATACAAAGAGATCAGGCCCAAATCCAGCCAGCTCCCTTCTGATGCTGTACGCCTAAGGGGTTATAGTTGTATTTATACACCAACCATATCTACTGATACTTCCTCATCATGTTATGTATTCCAAAAAAAGCATGTATTTTATGAAACAGAATTAAGACTGCAAGGTGTGACACATCACATGGGTGGTTTCAGGGTTTGCCCTAATGATTAGAAGAATCTTTTATCTATACTTAACCTTGTATGTACAAGAATCTGGCATTCCTAACACCACTTTTTAAATGCTAAGTTACTAGAAGCTAACTGTGGCTCTAGCAACCCTTACTTACATGGCTCTCAAATCTGAAGATAGTCAATTGCCAGAAGAGCTGAAGGATCAAAGCTGTGTTCAGAGATATGCACTATCCCTTTTCTAAGTGTAGGAGATAGTCAAGGTAAGGTGAAAACTACAATCAAGACTGTAAAAATCTCCTGCAGGAAATGAAGACAAGGGGAATGCTACAACTAGAATAACTAATTTCCAAGTGCCTTTCAAAAACAACTACTAAGTCACTTTATGTCATAGCATTTAGGTAAAATGGACAAAGGAGGCAAGTAAAACTACTTCAAAGTCACACATTAAACATTAACACCTCCAAGAGGCTTTTCAGCAGTTTGTTCACAACAAATATAGTGAAAAACAGACCTATCACATTTAGACAGGACTGCCAGGATCATAAAAAAAAAATCTGATGATCTGCTCTATATGGATCAATTTCTGATACACCAGAGAAAGGCTGAATTCCTCCTGTGTAAGAAGTGCCTATCTGATCAGCTATGTATTTTGGGTGTATTTTTATAGCAACAAATATACCTGATTCTTCCTAAATGTAAATTCTGTTCATTATATAATCCAAAAACATTACCAAGTGCTGAATGCTAACATTAAAGTAGGAAAACCATTCCTGACACCAATTAGATTTAAATATTTGAGTTGAGAGTGAGAAGGACTTCAAAAAGGACAATTTGCTAAAAAAGTCATTTAAGTTGCAGTATGATAGGAATTCTATCCAGATTTATAAATATATATATATATATATATAAACTGCATATTTTACCCCAAAATAAGTAATTGTTACACTGAAAGGATAAAACTCATTACACAGATGTATCTGTCTGTCTTCACTACAGCTTCTTGTGTTCATGAGATGCCTTCTGTACAAGTCTGATACTGATATAGTTCTGCACTTTCTCTGTGGCAATGTTGTTGTTATATATTGCAAGATGTGATCCTTAACATAACCCATTAACAAAAAATGTTATGCTTCTTACAATTTTTAAGTCTCAAAACTTATCAGGGGGGCTAAGGGAGGACACATATGTAAATTTTCTCACAGTATTGCTACCTTTAGTGAGTCTTGCCTGAAAGTTACAGTATTTTTCATTAGCCTGGATGTAGGGGAGAAGAGATACCGAGATTAAAACAATCCAAAGTAAAGTCTTTCTGAAATGAATCTTCATAAAGTTAAAAGCATCATGATTTCAGTTCTAACTGTAGATTGTAGCTATGTGTGTACCTACACAGTTAGTACTTCCCAGATGTAATTTAGAGCTTTAAGTTTCTCAAACTGTCATATATGACCACTTCTTCACTCAAGGAGTGTATGCAGATTGACTTAAGCAGGCTTTGTATTTCCTATAGCCTCGAGTCCCAGACTACATCTGTTTTCTTTGATACACAAAACCAGAGTTAAAATAGCTCCATTTATCACAGTGTGATTGTAGGCAGACAAACTAGCCTGTCTGTTTCCAGATAGTGAAAACAACTGTTATTAATCACAATTACAAGACAAATACTACAAGAAATTGCATCAATATTTTCTTTTACCCCACACAATAGACTAGTCTTCGCAGTGCTAAGAATGACAGGGCCTGAAGGTCAGTAAATAAAACTGATACTGTTCGGCTAATTCTCGGCAGCACATTTGCTAAGCACTGGAAAAAATAACTCTTGAATATCATACACAGTGAGCTGCCAGACAAAACCACTCAAAGCTGAAAATACTTATTAGAGAGGCAGTCATGCACACAACTGCAGCATAGGAGGTCTAACAAAACCCAAGTTATTCATATCTGTAGAAGCAGAAAGTTCAAGTGTGCAAGGGTTTTAGAATGCTACACAACTTTTTCTCTTGTTCAACATATGCTGTAAGCAAATTTTCATATGGTGAGGGCAAATACACCCAAACATGCGACAAGCTCCAGCTGCATGCAAGTTAATGGATGAAATGCTAGGCACAGTAAAATATAGCTGCCACAGCAGGGGAGAGCACAACAGTACATCAAGGGGGTAATTCCACATCCCATGTGTGAGAATTGACTGGTCCACTGTACCACCATATTAAAGATTTAACCAGAGGACAATAAGAGCCCATTAAAAAAATACTGAAACAGTTTTCACTAATGTTATTATGACCTACACATCTTTCAATATCCTGACACTGCTAAACCAGGGTCAATTTCAGTTTCTATCACAAAGCTAAATGCCTGAAAACAGCCCTAAAGGTTTCAAGTCTGGGAAGTCTCTGCCTTTCAGTTTTCACACACACAGAGCTTTATTAGAATCACAAAATTTTTATCTAGTTTCATACCATCAGACTACATCTTTGCTCTTATTTCTGTGACAACACCCCAAGAAAGGAGAGATAAGAAATACATTAATCAGTTTTAAGAAGCTAGCTGCACAAATCAAACTGACTTCACAACAAGTCTTGCAGACATTTGAGTATACAGCATTATATAGGACACATGCAATCCAATTAAGCTATCTGAATAAGTGGGAAAAGCATCGGGTATACAAAGCATCACTTATATGTGACATTGTTTCTTAATATGAAAGCACAAAATAGCTTGCAAAGATGCTAGCAACTCATGACAAGTAATTCCCAAACTCCAAGAAAAGAAATTGAATAATCATAAGCAAGCTAGTAACATCAACACTTCCATGACAATTATGCAACAAATGGCATCTTGCAATATAGCCCATTTCAAGTCACTAGCTCTTTTATGCAGATACTTTCACAAAGTGCTTTGGAATTAGGGCTAACAGCATTTGCCTAGCCACAGCAGCCTAAGCTCTCTTAAAACTGTGAAACTCCCAGTCGAGGTTTTCGTAACTGAATACACCTCTGCACAAGGTTCAGTAGGAGCTGCTTAAGACAAACTGATCAACTACATCTTCAGGTTCTCTCACAGCCTGTAGATTTCTTATAAAAGATTTGAAGCTGGTGCTCATAAATACACCACATCGTGTGATTTGACATCAAGTGAATGAGGTCTAGGGACATTTGCCCTGGAAGTCTGGCAAAGGCACAAGAAATTTCTAGAAAGAATGCCATTACATGTCCTTGGCCCATCCCCCCGCCCCCAGTAATTTCAGTTAATACCTGTAAAATATTTTTCAAAGTTCTATTACAAACTATTTTATGTAGTCATGAATATTTAGCAGTATTGAAGAGACTAATATTAGACTGAGAACATTACCTCCATGGTGATGTGACAGACTTCCTCCATTGGCAAGTATTTCTTCTCTAGCAGCCCTCTAAATTGGAAAGATAAGATACTTACTCAACAGCAAAAGCACAAGTTTTTGTTGTTATTGAAATGCTTGCTATGGCACTGATTTGCACAGGTGTATGAAGTTTCAGTAGTTATTAGGGTATGCAACACAGGGAAACATTTTAATTTAACTCCACGGATAAATTTAAGTGGGGATTTTCCAAGTAAACATTATGAAAGCCAAGACATTTCAAATGGCATCTGTTACAACACATCTAACATAGCAGACTGAGACCAGCATTTACCTAGGCCTAAACAGAAATAACCACAGCAGTTAATTCTCTGAAATAGCACAAGGAAGACCCTCATATTTACTATTCTCTACACTGTTAATAAAATATCTTGATATCTTGATAGTTTTACCATGTATTTTAAAGACTAATTGAGTATTAAGTGAAAGAAATAGCTTTGTAAACAGTGGAACTAAGAAAGTCTTTCCCATGGATTTGGGTTTTATGGCTGATAGTTTTTGCCATCCAAGAACAAACTCCAGTTCAAGCTTTCCTGTACTTCACTCCTAAACTGATGTCTAGAATAGTCACCTGGTTGTCTTCTCTCTACTTGATGCACTATTACTGCACTCCTCCCTAGCTACTAGTGATAAAAGCTTTACAGACTTTTGAGATCCTTCCTGCAAAATTCAATTAGCTTGGCCAATGGGTTCAGCATATATTGTAGGACATCAGCTTCTTTCCCTCCCCCTTAACTATAGTTCTTATATATATTACCTCAATTTGTTCATAGACATGAATAGGATCACTAATTCCTCTGTAGTTAAAGGCAAAGTAGAAGTAGACACATGCACCTGCATCGTAAGTCTGTGTCACCCTGTTGAAGAGAACTGCATTACAAACAAAGCTTTATGGTATTAAGCCAGCCACTTGTGACATTACACAATTTAGAAGGTAACAGCTTATTTAAAAGGGTGCACTTTTTGTTTTTAAATAGTTTTGTATTCTTTTTGATCAGACTTCACAAATGACTCAATGTCAAGAGCTTCAACTCTCAAAGTCATATGTCATCACACTCGAGCCTCATGAATATAAGCAAGACTAAGTATCAACACTAATCAAATGCTACTAATCTCTTGAATTATCCACTCATACATGTAATCCACTTGCAGGTTAAAAAGGAAGATCAAGATTACCAGTGTTTGTAATATTAAAAGACACACTTTACCTACTAGCTAGCAAGTTTGATGACCTCTTCCATAGTTTTCTTACTAATTGAAGATTCAAGAAAAATTATTATTTAGGTTGTTGCATAGCTTACCTACAGGTGGAAAGAGGGGCAAATTGAACACCCTTTTCTTTGCATTCTCTTACTATCCTTTCCTTTACATTCCTACAAAGGTCCAAAACCCTGCAACAAAAAACCATATTAAATATAAAAACTTACTACATTTTCTTATACAATTTCCTAAAAAAACAACTTCAGCAATCTTTTCAGAAAAGTATAATCTAATAAAAACAGGTTCTAGCAGGCAATCGTCTGTTTAACTGGCTTAGATTTGTTCCAAGAATAGTCCTCATCAAGACTTCACTGGTATTGCTTTTTCTGTACTTCTGCTGTAAGTTTACCCTGAGGTAATAAAAGCTCTTTTTCTCAAGGGATAGGAATCACTAGTTTGCCAGTTTGAAATGTTATAATTCTCATATGGCAATGAGCTATTAAACCCTGTTGTAAGCCATACCTGTTTTGCTTTAATTATTTCTAACATGGTAACATGCGCTTGCAGCCCAGAAACCCAACCATATCCAGGGCTGCATTAAAAGCAGGTCCGAGGGAGGGGATCCAGCCCTTGACTCTGCACTCGTGAGACCCCACCTGGAGTACTGCATCCAACTTGGGTCCCCAACAGAAGAAGGGCATGGAGCTGTTGAAGTGAGTCCAGAGGAGACCACAAAGATTATCAGAGGGCTGGAGCACCTCTCCTGTGAAGACACACTGAGAGAGCTGGGGTTGTTCTGCCTTCAGAAGAGAAGGCTCAGGGAGACCTTACAACAGTCTTCCATTACCTAAAGGGGGCCTACAAGAAATCTGGAGAGGGACTTTTTGCAAAGGTATGTAGTGATAGGGCAAGGGATAAGAACTTTAAACTGAAAGAGTTTAAAGATGTATATTTAGACTAGGCAGAATTTATTTCCTGTGAGGGTGGTGAGACACTGGCACAGGCTGCCCAGAGAAGCTGTGGCTGCCCCATCCCTGGCAGTGTTCAAGGCCAGGTTGAATGAGGCTTTGAGCAACCTGCTCTAGTGGAAGGTGTCCCTGCTGTGGCAGTGGGGTCCCTTCCAACCCAATCCATTAAATCAAAGACCTTGGACAAAAGTTATCTTTTCAGTTTTCATTTCCCTGTGGAAAGAGAAATTTTAAATATATTTAAATAATTTTTTTAACCTTCATTATGAACTTGTCTGTTTGAAATACACTGCTGATCCCACATATGTGGCTGCTCACCACACAATACAGTTATCTTGACTTTTGTCCAGCTTCCTAAACTAGGCAATTTCAAGTCCCAGATTTGTTACAGTAAGCTAACCTAAGTTGAAATATCACTGAATGCTTGCATATATTGGATTTACAAAATCCTGATATGTAATTTACCAGCAACTTTAGCAAAAAAAACCACAGGTGCAAGACTTGAGGCACATCAGGGTGCATCCAACACACATAAGGCCTAAATTGAATTAAGTTTCCCCAAAAGCAAGCATGAGTTAGGAATAATTTGAATGAAATCAAGTACAACTTCTAAGCAATTCTAAAGAATAATCACAGTTTACCTATCCCAAGGAACAGATGTCTCAAACGATTCTCCTATTATATAGTAATCCAGGCCCAGGTCCTAATAAATAAAGGAAATTATCAGTAACATGCAGCATCAACATCTGGGAATCTAGTGTATGCTACATAGCTAACAGTTGAGGAACTTTAGTTAGTCCTTATGAGAAAAACAGAAAGTCTGTTCAGCAAAAACACCCATCTGTCCCAGTGACGTTAGTCTGTAGTTATGGAAATAGGGTAGCTCTTCAAAGAAAGAGATGACAAACATTTTGATGTCATGGCTACAGTGAGACAGCCTGTCAGACTGTCAGTATGCCTACACTAATCAAATATTTGTATCATTGCAGCATCAAGCCAAGAGGTCCATTGTCCTAACCAATACGATGCCTAGTAGAAATACTTATTTGGACTGCGATTCTTACCTAGGCAGAATAAAGATGAACATTTTGCCCATTTTACCTACAGCCTGGTGAAATAAAGGGAAACGGTGATTTTTCCCTGACTATAAAATCCAAATTAAATTTAGCACTCAGGATAGGCATGCTTTTTTCAAAAAAAACCCCTCTCAAACAGCAAGACTGAAATTCATAAGAACAGCTGTGGCAGTTCAGACTAAAGGTCAGTTTCTCCCGGAATTCTGATTCAAACCACAGCTGCCAAAAGCAGGTGTCCAAAGACAAGTAAGAGCTAAGTGAGCACATGAGTATTTCAAGTAGCCTCACAGCCTCTGACTAACATTCAACCTGTAGGTTTGTAAGTCTGATCTGGTTTATTTAGCAATTGCTAAATAAACTAGTGGAATCTTCAATTTAATTTTCTCTACCCTTATTAGAAACTATTTCCTTAACAAGCACATATATTTACGTTTTTATAGTGTATTAAGATGAAGTTCCATGAGTAAACCCTAGTCAGAAATGGAAGAGATACAACCTCTGGGAGAACTAAAATATTGTCCAAGGCAACATGCATTTAGATTTCAGAGAAAGCATCTTCAAAAAGAAATCTGTTTTGTTGTATTAACCAACAGAAGTTTCAGTAGGCAGACAAAATGTGACTTACCCGAAGGTAAGCGATGACAAATGTCAGCATATATCCTCTCTGTCCATTATCTTCTCCTGCTGCCAAGCCACTGTAATTAAAAAGAATTTAATTAATTTTCCAGCAAAGTAGTCACTGGTTTCAAAAAATAATTAGAAAATAATACTTTGTTATCAAACATATGAGCAAGTTTAGACGTATCTAAGCCGCGTTACAATAGTTGCAAGTAGTAGGGTCGTCTTCAATGAGAAGTTATTTCAGACCAGACCTTTAACTCTTTGCATCACTCTTTTTATACCACAATCTGAAGAGATGAACAATAACAAAACATTCAACGTGATTTTAAAATAAGTCTTGAAACACCCGAAGAGAGCAGGGGAAACAGAACTAGACACAGTATATCCTTCATGTTCATTTACAGGAATATGTGTAGCTACATTTCTAAGTGTGTTGGATCTGTGCATTTGTATGTTCACAGGTCGTGAGAGCAAGACTACTGACTTAAGATCCCAAAAGTGTAAGTGATGTGAATGGATTTAAAAAAATAAATAAATAAAATCCAGCACTAAGAAGAAAAAGGAAGTTACACTATTAAACACTTAACTAAGCCTTAACTGAGCAGCACAGAGCACTGTCTTCTGAGAGACTTAACACAGGGAAGTTTCATCCCCCCCTTATCAACACACCACCTTGAAATACCAAAATACGAAAGGATTCACAGTTGAAGCCTTTTCTTGCATACAACATTAAAATAACTAAAGTGCTCTTTAAGATAAGAGCAACATTGTTCTTATCACTGAATATTAGCAAGCTGCTCACATGAAATACCACTTTTATAAGCTATTTTAAGTGGTAGAATAAAAGCACAGTGAAAACAAATTTCAGAAAGGATAGCCTTGAAATGCATAAAGCAATACTTATGTATATTTGAATAATTGAGAATAATACTAGCAATAACTTACTTAAAAAGAAAAAAGTATACTCTTCACAAATCACACTTAATGGTTATCATCAGTCATGCTTAATCAAAGCAGAATGACAGAAGCTACCCGATCAGCCTGTTCCAATGAATGTTTTCTATTCCTTTGTAACAACAGAAAACAGACTGTGGGACAGAAATTCACTGCATTCCTTTAACTAAACACAAAACCCTCTTGAACAAGCTTCTTGTATTCATATGTTCACATCAATTCTCCAAAGATTTAGTATTACCCATATGATTTCTGTCTTCCCCTTCTGCAGTTAAAATACAGTCTAGTACTGCAAAGGATTTCCATGCCTTTAAGCTATTACAATGGCTACTTTCCATTTTACTGACATCAGTTCTATGTTTAGTCAAATACTTACTTTTCTGCAATACACAGCTGAAGTTTTCCAGTAAAGCTACCCATTAAGGGTTAGCACAAGCCATATTTATTAAACATTCACTAGCTGATTATTGCAACTTCAAACTAATAAACTGAGAACATATCTATACAATAATCATTATAAAAATACGGAAATCCTGGGTTCTTTTCCTGGACAGTTAACTTCCAGTTTCATATGAAAACGTTCTTTGAAAAGCATACCCAAACTTGGTGGCAATATCATAGACTTGCTTTTCATGCTGAAGAACCTTCTCTCTATCACCTTCAAAGAGCAAGGTAGCTACACACAGTATGTTGGGATCAAATCCTTTAAACTGCAAAGACAGAAAGCTTCACATTATGTGGTGGAATACAAGTAACAAGTTTTTAAATACATAGCATGTGCTCTGGTTAATAAGTGATGTTGCAACTAAGATGAAAGATTAGGGAAAAAAAACCCCATCTTTCAAAAATTCACTTCCAAAACAGTCTTAAGTTTGTCCTTGACAGGACCAACATTCACAAGCCCACCGAAAAAACAGTTCTCTCTGTCACCTTTTTTCTCCTGTTAAAAAGCAGGATAGACATAACAACTGCCTACATATGCTGAAGCAAGAACAAGTCTTAACTGCTTTGAGCAACTGGGAGACACTTGTATTCTACCAACTATTCCTGTGTTAAAGCAGAAAGACGACTGTGATGACCATAAATGTCACCGCTCTCAGAATAGTTGTATCAGAAAATCTCTATGCTGGGAAAAGCACTATGGAAGGAAAACAACTTCTAAACTTGTGGGAGGGAACATTTCCCAGTGGAAATGGAGAGAAAATTATTAAAGTTTTAATAGTAATACAGTGAGGCTGTCTATATGGCTTTGTTTCAGGGGTAACAATAAAGAGTCATATCTCTGCAACTGACCCAAAAAGCCCCTTACTTTTTTTCTACATACCTTTTTTTTGTTATTAATTAGCTCCAGTGAACTACCACTAATAAGCAGGTTTCAGATAAAAAGAAGAGGAATTTAAAGTTGTAATAAAGTTTAATAACTCTTTACCCTCTTCAAGGCTTCTAAATAATAAATTTTTTACAACTATTCTTAATATGCATATTGACCAGCAATTATTTTCTTAAAAGCCTTTCCCTTTCCAGTGGCATTCATCTTTTCTGGTCTACTCTGCTTGTGGTAACTTGTTACTTAAGCACCAAGCAAAGCTGTATTAAGTGACATAAATAACCAAGAGATTCAAATTCATCCTTTATGCACAACAGCTATGCTGAGAAAAATCTCAGGTAGTTGCTCTTCCTTTATTAGTCCCTTAATGGAATAGATTTACTGTACTGGAAGTTAACTGAAGGTACCAGAAGGGTTCAAAAAACCAGCATGGAGGCAAAGTATCTTAGGATGCCTCAGTCCTCCAGCCAAATCTGCATGGTAAGACCCAATTATAGATATCTAAATTTCTGAAAAGTAGTATTTCTGAAAAGGATACTGTATTCTACCACACCAAAAAAAAACCCAGAACACCATCATGAAAACCATTGTGAAACATGGTATACCTCAGAAGACAAAGGATCTTTTCCATTAGTCTTACAAAAACAGCATAGCTAACAATTAGAAAAATATTGTTACTACAGTGATAAACTACAGGGACAGGAATAAAGGATGCACTTGTATTTCACCTAGTATGAATCCTTTCAGTCTATTCTGCCATCTTTTGGCTGTGATGCTCAGAAAACGGTTTACAGTTGTCTTTAAGAGGCACTGGAGGAACTAGCTACAGTGTGAACTAGTAGACAAACAATGCTTAGAACATTCATCTATCAGTGAACAGTCCCAGACTACATGGAAAAGTAACCCAGAAAGACTTCATCCCTATTATCTTAAGTGGCATCTGTTGAACAACTACTCTTTACAATAAAAGAATGAAGTGTTAATCTGATGTTTACTCCCCTCCCCAGAGAGAATTCACAGATGAAATGTAAAATGGGATTTGAGCATCTTGGTCCCAGAAACACCTGCAACATCAGCCTCAGGGGGCTGAGCCCTGACATAAGAGCTCCAGACTGATCACTAAGCTGAAATCTCTGCATCAGTATAATATAGCATTGCTCTTATTTCTCCACGTTTTTTCTCCTACAGAGCTGAAAGAAATTTGAATTGGCATACAACATTCCCTGGAGATACAATATCTCAAGTAGAGGCAGCGATGCTTGTTTCCAGCTACAGAAGCAGTAGGTATTGCTGATGAGGACTGTTTCAAACCAACAGCCATCTTATTGCCAAAACTTTTACTACAGCAGACTTGGGAAGGCAGGCAACAGTTTTGGGCTATCTCTAGAACTAGTAAGTATTCCCTAACAAAGTAAGTCCCAAGACACCCAGTATTTTCTATTTCAGTAGCTCAAGAAAAAGCAACAGAATCAATACTAGCCACAGTCTCTCAAATAAGCCCACTCCTTGAAGACACTCAATATTATCAGATCAGAATGGGATGTTTACATCCTCCCAACAGTTATCGAAACTCAGGATAATGCAGTTTCCTACATTTGAATACCCAGGAACTCCCTAGTTAGCTAATCTGGAGGAAAAAACCACAGTAGCAAGACAATTTAATAAAAAAGCCTAGGTGAAATAATTTTAGGACCAGATAATTCTGGATTAAAAAGGGTATTCATTAGGATATATTCCATAAAGACGATAAGAACACTTTATGTGGGCAATTCAAGACAAGTATCTTGATGTTCTCCCAAAATTTTAGTTCATTGTATAACAAGGTATATCATGCCTTGACAAAAACTGGGAAGAGGAAAAGATACTGAAGTGTCAGCCCTGCTCCATCAGTATTAACTGATTATCAGTGATCTCCAAGGTAAATAAATTGGTTTCAGTCTTGCTCCATCACTGGCTCATTATTAGACAAAGCACATTAATCTCACCTACAGATATGACCACTGAGAACAGCTCTTGTGGAACAGCTCCTCAAACATTTTTGATTAAACCAAGAGTCATAGAATAGTTTAGGTCAGAAAAGACCTTTAAGATCATCAAGTCCAACCGTTAACCTAGGTCCACCACTATACCAGGTCCCCAAGTGCCACATCTAACTTGAGAATCTCGAGTTATCTGATCCTACAATGTAGGATCTATTACACTCAAACTCAGCTGCATTATAGATAGTCTACCAAGAAGATCTTTGATTTTATGAATAGCATGCAAAGTTCCAAACAGCATTAAACCCCAAAAGTTACCTTTGTGATGTAGAATTTTTTCAGTCCATCCAAAAATGATGTAAAAATAGAAGCAACTTGTGGTTTAAGAGCGTGACCTTTGGCAAAAAGTGGAAAAAGGTGTGTTAAGGCAAACAGTGCTCTTAAAATTCCTACTTCAATGGGCAAAGAAAATACAGCTTAGTAGTCAAAGTTGCAAGAATCATTTGGAGAGCTTTAATTATCATAATTAAAGAGACTTCTCTCTACTCACTTGGAAGATAATTTAGGAAAACGTTTGTATTATTTTTTCTTTAAAAAGCATACATACAACTGTGCACAAATATTCCATTTAGCACTTTAATTAAGGCTGCACTAGTTACATATGCTTTACAAGTATATGGCACATGGAAAATTTTAAGAGAGCACCTCATTACTTTTTACACTACAAAACTAAGCAAAATCAGTGACCTTTTTTAAAGTTATGCCAAAACCACTGAAACCAATAGCTAAAAATGGTGCAAGTTGGGAGTTAAGCAGTTTTTTCCTTAACGGTTATGTCACTTGTGCAAAATTTTCTACATAAAGCTAGTAATTGCTTCCTTAATCACATACAGGGAACTAAAATTACCAGGATATATAAATGGTGTCTTGGAGTCTGTTAAATTAACATCTCTGCCTCAGGACTGGGTTTAATTGAGATGAAAGTCTTTTACTGTTTGTTCCATTGTTTTCAGTCACAAGCAACTTCTGAACTCCCATTACTGCTTCACTTTAGCAGTCTTGCATCTGGCCTACATGCTGTGAGCCCAATTCATAAAAAAGTTATGCACCATTTACATGATACTTCCTTCTAAAATACTTCGCAAAGTATTTCCTCCTAAATAAAGCATAACCTTCAGCAATTGATTACTCTCCTTCCCTCTCTGGGACTCTCCCTACAGATACAAACAAACCCCCAGGAGTACACCTCCAAGCACACTTAAGTAAGCACACAAAAAAAGCACCAGATAACAAAAGGACATGAATTTACTAAACCACAATCTGTAAAAACTATTGGATTTAAACTTACTCAATAACTACAAGAAAATTCTATATTGACACACCAGAAACTGTTTTGCAGGTGACTGTATTAGCTGCAACCTCAAATCAAACAGAAGATTGGTTTAATCGGTGTTGGTTTTAAAGCCTGTAATTAGTCAAGCTTCTTCCCGATTATAAAGAAAGTAAAATGTATCTGTCTCCTGTTGAACATATCTGAGAGAACAAAGGTAACAAAAAAGAGTGACCAAAGGAAGCAGCAAAGCTTGCTGAATGTCAAGATTCATCACTGAGGTTTCTACCCAAAGGAAGTTTCAGAAATTGACTTACTCAAGTGGCAGTACAGTAGAGGTTTTCACAGTCAGTCACACTTTACATTTTCATCTAGGTACAAATAAAAATAGCATCGTCTCTGCAAGACCTTCCAGTTCTGTGAACCATTAACTTTTAGATAGTGAAACTTCAGGTTCTCCTCAAGAGTACCTTGAGACAGAACACATGTGTGTTCTTCCTACAGTTTAAAGTGACAGCTTTCCTTAAGAATTGTTCAAAACCGATTGCTCTGCATGTCTGACATTGTCCTATTTAGGTATTTGAACTAGTTGAAATTTCACAAAATCTTTGTGTTTAGTAATCTTCTAGTAGCTTCGCTGACTTTTTATACTTAAAGCTTAGAGCTTTGTTCTATTTCCATACAGTTATGGCATTTACTATGTCTAAGCTTCTCTTAAAAATAGACAGCTCAGTTAGAACAAGTCTGTCATTGCCTCTCTCCCACCCAAACAATCATTGCCACATCAGATTATTTTCTGATAATAATTATTATCAGAATTATAATTCTACTTCTGCTACTTCTAAGGAATCTGTACACCATTTGTGATGTTTCTGTGAAATATACAGGAATCAACTAACTTATCTTCCAAGTAAGGTGCCTGCATTCTCATTTTTGTCATATCCAACTTCTCATTACTACACTTACCAAGAAAGTGTTTCATATATTGCACATGATATTGCAAAACTATAATCTCTGCTCCTTCACAGTAAAATAGAGCAAGCACCTCCACAATTTCAAACTCTCCAGTAGACTATATGTCAAGAATGGAAAAGTAGAAAAAAAAAAAATTCTCATGTATTTATATGCAGAGCATGGCTCTTTGCTGCCTGTTGTAGTTGATACTGGTTTCCCAGGGACAAAGACACTTCTGTTCCTGAAAGTACACATTGTGGCACTATCTGGAACTTTGGGTTCATTGTCCTAGTTTTGAGCAATAGAATTACCACCTAAGCCAGACTTAAGCTACTAAAAAGTAAAACCCTTGGAAAGAGGTATTTGTCCGAGAATATCTACATACTTACCAAACTGAAACTGTGCATTGTCAACAAGGCGAATTGATGCAGGAGCACACCTCTTGGGGGCCAAATTAGGGGAACGAGAGAGAGGAAGAATAAAAAAAAAGATTATGTACATAGTTTTGCTAAAATTCATTACAATCATTTTTTTATTTAAAAATAGCATACCAGAGACCTATGGCCATCATCATCATTGAAAAGCAGTGATTATAAGCTTGTTTTCACTTCAACAGCAACATTTATTAGGTATGTCTAAATATAATGCATTGAGAATTTTAAGTTTAACATCAAGCCAACAAAAGTGTAGTCCAAAGACCTTTGGCCTTCAAGTATTGAGTGTTTTTCTAAATTGCCATATGCACTAAAGATGCCATTATTGATTAGAATACCAAGCTTATGTTGGTATGTAATTAAAGAAACACATACATTATGAATTCATTGAAAAAGTCTAACTCTTGTGGGTTAAGCCTGGCAGACAGCCAGGCTCTACACAGCTGCTAACTCACTCCCCCAGGCAGATGGGAGAAAATCAGAAGGGCAAAAGTAGGAAAACTCATGGGCTGAGATGAAGATAGCTTGGTAAGCAAATGGGAAAAAACACCACCAAAAAGTGATGCAAAAAGCAATCAGTTACCACCAGCTGACCAGTATCCAGCCAGTCCTCAAGCAATGGCAACCCCTGGAAAACTCTCCTGTATAGTTTTATTTCTGACCGTGATGTTACACAGAATAATATGATATTATGCCCCATCCCTGGCAGTGTTCAAGGCCAGACTGGACAGGGCTTTGAGCAACCTGGTCTAGTGGAGGGTGTCCCTGCCTCTGGCAGGGGGGTTGGAACTAGGTGACCTTTAAGACCCCTTCCAACCCAAAATGTTCTATGTTTCTATGTTACTATGGTATGGAATACTCCTTTGGTCAATTTGGGTCAGCTGTTCCAACTGCATTCTCTCCCAGCCTCTTGTCTGCTTCCAACCTACTTGCTGGCAGGGAAGAGAATGAAAAATAGAGAAAGTCTTGACAGCGTGTACATGCTGTTCAGCGACAGCTAAACCACTGGTGTGTTAACACTGTTTTGGTCATAAGTACAAAACACATCACCACTTGGGCTGCTATGAAGAAAATTAACTCCATCCCAGTCAGACCCAGTACATTAATGCTCTGCCATCAGACTGCAATTAAAATCCGTATCTGGGTCCAATCTAGATTCTGCACTGTACAGAAATCTGCAAAACAGATTGCCTTCAATTAGGCAAGCTTCTGGTCATGCATATGCCCACCTCATGTAATCTGTGATGGCTATGTCCAGTCATACTGACATGTATGGCCAGAGGAACATGGCAAAGCCTGAATTTTAGGCTAGTCTCATCTAATCACATAAATATGGAAGTATGTCTTTATCATTTTGACATGCTCACCCTCCATCATATCATTACTATATATCTTATCCCACAATAGGAAAAAAGAACATGAAGAACTAAGATAGCTCACCAGGCAGGTTGACAGAAGGCTGGATGAGTGGTTTTAAATGAGAGCAAACCACCCATATCCTGCAGGTTGGTTATTCTTACATTAAAAGTAGACCAATACAGACAAGAAACAGCTTTTCAGATAGCAATCATTGTAATTACTACCAAGAGTGATGCAAAGGGCAACAGAAGAGGAGTAAGTACTTCAGGCTAAAGTAAGCAGTGAAACAGCAGCAGTAGCAACAGAAGCTTAAAAATGGAGCAACACTAAGTGGCTAGTAGTGCCTTTTTTCCTTTTCTACCTAAGCCCATAGCTAGGGAAAAGACACTAGTTCCTTAATTGACTTAAAATGTTATCAGCCACATGATTAAGCATTCCCAAACAGTCTGCTTAGATACCTTTAACAGGAAGAACAAGCACTAGCAGTAGAAGCATGAAAGAAGAACTGGCAAGTGCTGCTGACTAGCATATACATGTCATTCACATACCAGTTTGAACATCTGGCTTGGAACATTAAGTCATTAATTTAGACCAATCACTGGAAAAAATGTAAAGCTGTGTTTAGTTTGGCATTAATTAAAACATTTCTGAAATTACTTCCCCAACTCAGGGTATATTCCACCATTCATAGAAATTATTTGATACGTTCTGCACAGAGCAAGGAGAAGTTAGTCTAAGATAGCAAAGAAAGAGGCTAGCCAGTGTAAGATTTGCTTGGAAGCATAGCCATGAGGAAAAGTGTTACACAATTTGGATATCGAGGTCTGAGTTTTGCTACCTGAAACCATCTGATCACACTATGCAGAAGGATCTACTTAAACACTACACTGTAAGCATAATTTCACCTCAAAATATCCAGCTCACCTGAAAATGTCACTGTGCTTCAGAAAGTGTTTTCTAAACATAAGCCATATCCTTCCATTGCATGACTTTTGTTCTTTTGTCACTTTAGAACCATAAATTCAACTGCCTTTTACTTGCATGCTGCAACTTAATTCCTTTAAATACCGGTTCCTTTTACATAGTCCTGAATTAATCTGAGAATACAGCTCTCCGTTGAAGGAGATGCAAAGCCAAATTTTCTGTGCTGAGATATGGAAATAACTCCCATTGAAAAAAAGCCACCAAAAGGCACATCCACCGTTTGGCTCAGTACATCAAGTAAATTCAGAGCATGCTCAAGCCTCAAATGCGTAATTTCCAAAAGCCTCACAGACCATATACACTTCTGGGGTTCATATCTCAAATCCTTGGTTATCAGTTGCCAAAAATACTACAGCATCAGCACATCACTAGTGCTAGAATCTGTGCCCTTGACTGAAGTCAACATCCAGCTTTTCTTTACCTGCTTTGCCACTTCCCTTAAGCAGGCCACCCCTCGTTCAAAGTTAGGGAAGACCACAGAGCCATACTTCTGGTATTCAGGGACTGGGCGAATCTTTATCGTAACTTCAGTAACCACTCCAAGAGTCCCTTCAGGAAGAAAGAAGAACTGAGTAAAGTATTGCAAGATCTACTTCTTGCAAGTTACCCAACTTAACAAATGTTTACTGGGATGTCCTAAGTTAACATAAGCCAGAAACCCCAAGAGTTCAGTAGTAGGTGATTTATTCCTGACTATTTACATGGTGAATTCTTACAAGACATCCTCCAAATGATGATGTTTGTTACTACACTTGTAGGCTAACTCGACAGTTTTAAGCACTGTTCAGAGTTGCTTAACTTCAGCCTTAAGGTCTCAGTGTATTACCCTAACAGAAGAAATTCATGCCTGCATAATGCTACCCAGAGACACACTGGAAGCCACAGCATAAAGATGGTCAAATCATCAAGCCATTACAGAAGCTGAATAAAGATGCAGTTACATGAAATTATGATGTCTGTACCTTCAGATCCCATAATGAAATGATGGATATCAGGCCCCGTTGACATACGAGGTACTTGACAGTTTTTTTCTACTATTCCTCTAGGAGTTACCATTTTTATATGAATCACCTGTTCAAACAAAATGCAATAACGATCAATACCAGCATTAAACACAACGGGGTTTTTTGTACAGTATTTATTTTCTACAAAACTTGATACAGTAGAGCTTTGTAGACTTTGAACATCCTGTAAGCAGCCCAAAGAACTTCTGGGGTAACCCGAGGACTATTGTAATTACAATAACACAGCACGGTTTACCTACGTAATAGATTGTTTCCAGTTCTATGCCAAATCAAGTCAGCTGCTGGCAACATGCAGACAATGAAAGTTAAAACTTGTTTTCCTCAGTGTGGGTAGTACTTTATGAATACTAGGATTTGATTCCAGAATATATATGGTACTTTAGAGGAAAAGAAGTGAGGGTTTAAATTTTGCTTAATTTTTGCTGCTTGATAAAGCTAATATAATTTAATCATTGTTTGCTATAGAAATATTTCTATTAGGAGGAAAGACAAAAGCAAGCTTTATGAAATAGATTATCAACATTAAATCTGCCATAAGACATACATACGCAAGGCTAGAAGGTTGTATTTCTTAAAATGTTTTTCAAATGTTATTGCATCCAGTATTATTCATGCACGTGCAATACAGAGCCTAGATAAGTTTTTTTTAATCCTTTATTCTATTTTATAGGAAGAAGTGTGGTTTTGGGTTTGGATTTTTTTTTTTAGTTAAGCCTTTAAATGAAGCCAAAATGACTGAATTTCAACTAATGGCTTTAAAAAAAACTTTCAAGCACAGGTAGCCAAGTAATTTTCATCCTGCTCCAAGTTGTTCAAGAATTTAATTATACGTCTTTTATGAACTGTTGATTCTGCAATAAAGTGGATTTTAGGCAGCTTATGCAACACACCATTTCTAGATAAAAAGTTTCTGAAGAAGGTAAACGCTTCCCTGAAACTTTCTCACTGTGCCATTTTGAAACTCATGAACTATTCTGAATCAATTTTCAATCCTATTTCCTCCTAATGAAAATTTCAGGAGCTGCTGTAGCCTAAAGTTACGTTTCCATCATAGAAAAGCCTTCTGCTTCACATCTCCCAGTACAAGCAAAACTACGCCATTCGGCAACACTTCAAGCAGTAGGGGACAGATGACAGACACTTTGTAAGCGCTAGCAGTTTTAGTTGAGCCAGGCCTACTGAATAAAATCTGTATAGCTCCTGCCAAGCTCAGTTACTGATAGTAAAGTGTCACGCCTATGCCTGGAACAAATGTGTCTGTGCTATAAGCTAATGAAAAAGCCTGAGATTATGGGGAGACATTACCTAGAGTGTGTTGCAAGAAAGGAGGAAAAAACCCACACGTGTGTAAGGGCTATTGCACAAACTACGAGAGAAATCTGGAAGTTTGAAGCAAGAAGACAGGCAAAGTCTGAACAGCAATGATTTTAACTCCAATATATTCAATTTATTTGTTATAACATAGAAGGTCGATTTTTAAATCAAAATATATGCTTTAAAAACCAAATTACCTGGGTTAAAGATTAACTATTTTAATGCTTAAAATAGGTTCAGGAGTAGAATACTGCCATTGCTTCCTTCCTCAGGGTTCCTACAGACCATCTGGTGACATCAGATTTCACTGTTACGCATCCACATGTTCAATTACATAAGCCTAGTGATTTGAAAAAACTACTTGCCTAGGGGGAGGTAGGAAAAGAGAAAGAGCTAGTTTGCTATCAGAGTTAGATGATCCAACTAGACTACTTCAGGAATACACAATGTGTAGGAGAGAACATGGGTCTATTGCAATCACCCTGAATGTTTGACGTGTTTATTACATTGGATTAATAGTGAGCACAAAATAGTGAAAGAAGGCACCAGAGTCCGGACAGGGTAATAATTCCTTAAGCTAGCCAGCGAATACCAAAATGAAATTGACTTTAGATGAATGGTAAGGATTATCAGTACTAATACCAAAGGCAAGAAAACAAGCATTTCAGTCAAGATTTGATGCCAAAACTGTATCACTTAAGAGAACCACAATTTATTACCCCTTTTTCCTCTCACTGTGAGACACTATAAGAGTTAAACTTCCAAACAGAATCATTAGAAAAAGTATTTGAATTATTTACCATATCTTCAATGTTTCCATAGATGTTTTTTTTCATGCCTGATGCTCGTGTTGCTACCCATCCTCCTAGTGAGCTGAACTCCATGGAGTCTGGTTCATGGCCTGTACAGAAGCCACTTTCTGCAAGCTAAAGAAAGTTAAAAAAAAAATAAAGCATTCTAAAGAGCCTGCATTTGCTTACTATTGTGAACCTCAATATCCAAGGTTTTGGGGTAGGTGTTTTTATGTGGAGTTTCAGGCTTTTTTAAAGCATCTTGACCACACCCCCACATACTCCAACACAAGTTTTGTCTTTGACATGTAAATGAAATGCAAATTGATTCTGCTTCTACTGTGCATACATTGTGCTACATATCGACCTATAATACTCTCCCCATATTTTAAAACTAAGACTGCTGTCGTTCATAAGAAGGTACAAATTCAATTACATATGGAAAAAACCCTATAACTAAGTAACTGCCAACTTTGCACAAATGCTGCCAATAAATAAGGTACTTAATCTCTTGTTCTTACTATCCTAATGTGATATGCAGCAGGTCTGCAGAAAATGCGAGTAAATTGCCTGTACTTAATTCTCTCAAGGAGTGATGTGTTTTAATATACAGCCATCTGGCTGGGCTTCCTGTATGCAATGCGGTCAACTATTTGTGATGCAGATCACGCATTCCTGTACATTAAGTAGTCACTTGTTTCTCATTTTTCTGTATTAACTTGGCTTTGCCATCTGCACAGCACCTGAGGTTGATTTGATGCCCCCAGAATTGCAACACCAAAACTGTTGGACAGGAAGAATTAAAGACCCAGTAGTCTTACATTACGTGATAATTGTGTTAGTGCATTTGAGATGATCAATTTGCACTGACCAACTGATAATAATTGTGTTGGACACAGGTATTTAAATATACCACATAATGTGGATCATTAACTATGTTGTGTTGCACAAAGTGGTTCCAACTTAAATGATTGAAAGTCACTTCTATGTAACGTCTATGGTGATTTATCTAGCTCATGATCCTCTCTCATACCAGAGGATCTTGTGGCTTCATATACTTACTGGTCATATGTTAGGAAAGGGTTTGAAGCTGTACCCTCCTCATTCTCCAAGGTCACAAGAAAATTGCTTCAGTTACAACTTGCCAATTTCTACAGATTGTATAAACACTTCTCTGTAGAGCCCACTAATATCTGGAGTTTTCACCCAGCAGAAAAGTATCTTAATCACACTAGAGCCACCAGCAGAGAGACAGAATGTGAAGTCTACATTGACTTCGAATGCCCCATTATAACACGTACAGCCTGACTTTTGTCAAATACCAGGTTTTCCAAACCCATTCTTTGCTTAGAATTTGGCTCTTTAGTTACTGTTATAAGGTTAATAATACCTGTAAATGAGATAGCTTAAGTAACTTCAGCACCCAAAGAGTGAGGAATACATTAAGAGGCACCAATCTTTTCTCTGCAAGGTAATTCCTAGATAATGCTGGCAAAGCCTCTTACGGCAACAGAAGTTAGATTAGCCTCCAATCCAAAGCTTACTTAATACTGGCAAGCTGCAAACCAAACAAATCTTTCAAACGTTTTTTTCTTTGCGCAGTCCAAATGTGTATCTACCTGTATGTCTGTTGAAGTCTGCATTGGCATTAACTGTAATATTAAAACATAGTTATGCTCCAATTGTACTACACAAAACAAGCCCAACTTGGAGTCCTAGTTTTAATCACATCTGATTTGTTAATACTACTGGAATTCTAGCAGATGTAATGAATTTTTAAAATATATATATATATATATGCACACAAACTTCAGGCAGATGACCCGATTTTGTTGTATTTTTCACACATTGAAGGAATTGCACAGAAGTCCTTACATACTGAGTCACTTCATGTATTAAAAATACGGTTCATAGCTATCGCATATAATGCTTACCATACCAGTCTGCATGAAAACAATCAAGAATTAAGCTAGCATTCAATGATTTAGACAAGACATGAGGAACAGCTAAGAAATACATTGAGAAATACTAAATGCTTGAAAAGTTAAAAATACCTGTTTTTCCAGATCTTGACCAACAATGCCAGCTTCCACACAAGCTGTTAAGTTTTTCTCATCTATCCAGAGAATCCGATTCTGTTGAAAAGCCAATCAAAACTAAGAATCAGTGTTAAAGATATTTGTTTATTTCCTTCCCTTTACTACTAATACAATTCCAGTTATTACAGCAGTGGAAGCTGAGCCTCCTCACTGTCAAACAGCTACACAACAGGTTACAGTTTACGAAATCACCACATACCTATTAGTCAATTTATGCTAGGAACGTTTACAGAAACAACACAGAAAAGCCAGAAAGAAGTAAGTCAAAACTCTTACAAAAGTTAAGCAATACAGTGATTTTTCACAGTTAATATGATTGAAGGTGCCTGAATCTGACAATCTGGATATTAAGTATACACCAAGAAAAGTATTCTTAAACATACTCCAAGGGGTAAAGAGACTGCATTCAGTTATTCCAGGTCAGGTTTTGGATTTTGATACAGTAGGCTAGAAGCAAGGTATACTGCAGGATGTCAGAGTATGTACGTACTTTAGAAATTTAAGATACTTGGAAGGATTGTATCATTTTACCTGATGAGACACTCACTGTAACATGAGTATATTCTACTAAACAGGAAAAGTAGTAAACGCTACAAGTTACGCAGTACACTAAGCATGATTGTCAATGAGGACAATCCATGTGAAGGAGAAACTTAAAAAAAATATTAAATTTATATATAAACAGTTTTAGCTTTGTTTATAGTAAGGACACCACAGAAGCTTCAGCTTCTGCTCTTCATTCTTATTAGGTACCCTTCTAGCATACTTTATAATTTTGTGTATCAATATTGTGAAGAAGGAGAGCAGCTCTAACTTCCTTTTGCCTTGATTTTTCAAATGACAGGAACATGGACATCTTCTAGGTCAAATTAAACCATGCTTTAAAGCAACTGTCTCCACTCAACATCTGGGCTAATTATTCAAAGGCAGCTATTTCAGCTCCTTTCAGACACCTTCAGTTTCAACATGAACTCTCTAATTATTTAAGATGTTAATATTTTTAAGTAATGTAGACCCTACATACAAGACGAAAATACCCATTAGGTGCCTATTAAAATAGTAAAGCTTAGCCAATCATCTTAACTGCACTGAGACACCCAGGTTTTAACTCTGACAATGCTTCTTTTCAATTTAATTTCCTTATTTTTCCCTCCTTATTAATAATTGCAAGAATTGCTTGCAGAGTCATTCAAGACACAACAAAGTGGTCAATTTTCTGACTTGGTGTATACTTTAATCTAGCTGACAAAAGCATGTGTTCCGCCACCTTTGTAGAACAAGATCACTTTGTAATCAGATAAACTTGTCATTTCTCAGTGTAACAGAAGCACCACTGACTGCATAGAGAAAATGGAGCCAAACCCCAAGTCTTACCTTCAAGGTTAAAGGAGTTAATTAGCTCAGCCAGTGCTCAGGGGCAGTAGAGCCTTACATCAAAGATACAGAGCTGTTTCTGAAGCATCTTATTACTGTGTAGTCATAAAACTATCATTTTAAAAGTGTAAAGCTCTTTCATAATGGGAAGATGAAAACTAGCACTAAATTTTACAGAACTTCATTTCTGGACTGCTAGAAAGCTATAAACTTCACATTCGCTAGACGCTATCTACACAAGAATCTAGGTGTTCTTTTCTTTAAAGTTGATCCTTCAAGCTGATTTATAGATACTACATCACCTTACCAACCTTTAAGTATTTTTAAGTCTGCAAAAAAGTAAAATTTGCAGTAACAAATAACTTCCTCCTAGCCTTTCATTTAACCTCAGGTACAAGTTCCAAAAGAGAAGAATAGTAGCTTCTTCTGATTTTCTCTTAAAGCTGCTATAAGAAGGCTTAACAGTGATTTTTTACTTAGTAAATACCTACAGGTCATATGAAGTATTACAGGAGTAACATGAGTAAAAAAAAAGTTTAAAAAAAAAAAATATCACTTGAACTGAAGGAGTAGCAATTTAATCATGCATGGTAGAGATTAACAATTCCATCCCAACTTTATTCTTACAAAGAAAGGTCATCATCTAGTGATCACCATTCCAAATAACCATAGGATAAATAAAAAAAAAAATCCACATCCAAACAAACACTAAAAAAATTGAGATATACCATTTGTGATGTATCCAGCGAGACAATTGTTCTTTTTTCTTCTTCAGGACATTCCAGGGCACTAGACACACTCGTCCCTCCTACAAATACAGGAATGACACTCTGATCATAAAATTCGCAGGTAGCTTTTCTTCACGTAACATCCTCCTCTCCCTCCTTTCTGATATTGCACTTCATAAAGTAAGATTACTGAAGTTAACTGTTTGAGGCTAGTGATTAACCTTTTAAGGTTGTCCTTTCTTCCAAACTGAGTTTCACAAAATGTAAGCAGCACTGGAGCTGACAATGATTTAACCACACTTAATAACAAACCATGAAATTCTGTGACTATCTCAGCTGCTTCTGTTAAGTCCGGAATAGATTTTTAAAACAAGGAAGAATGAGAAATAAAGGCCATTAAAGAAACAGAGGTAACTATGGCTTATATATAGTCTTTCGAGATCACTACGGAAGCCACTATACTTCTGCTTAGAAAGTTGGCTTAAGAGGTCTACCTAATACAGGGATTTGATACTTCTCTGACAGCAGGAAGCAGAAAGGATACAACTCATAACAAAAAAACCAAAAAAGGATAAAACCAAATGTCCAACTTCTCCCAAGGTTTCTGATGTATCTTTATAGGATGCCACAGAACAGCCTTCAAGAAGCCTCTCAAAAACTACAAAGGATGCTAAAGAGATCCACAGGAAGCTGCCAGAGAACAGTCAATGGCAAATATTGAGACAGTGCCAACTAATAAAACACATGCCAAAACCACTAAAGCCCATCGCCTTTGTTTCCAATGGTAGTCAAGGTGGCATTTTCCTTCAGTACCAACCCCTACAGTAATAACTCCAGAAGTTGACCATACTTTAGTATAAGCATACTCGGAAAACAATCTGAAGCTCTTTCTGTATCCTAGTCAGCAAACAGGAGTTAGTCAATATTGCTACTTTCAGCTATACTAATTTACTAGTACCAAAAGTGACTGATAACAGTGTTACAGCTCTCCAGATATATCTAGAAAGGATGAGAGTGTTTCAGGGAGAAGACAATACCAAGCTAATGGAGCTGGTTTCAGTGGCATGCTCATCTTCTCAAATAGTAAATGTCCTTCCTAAAGGGCTATGCTCTTACAGCATAAGCAAGTACCAACTAACGCATAGATTTATCCCACAGAATTAAGAGTTCTTGGAAAAAAAGCTTCTCACAGAATGAGCTCATGAAAGCCAACACCTCATGCTCCCTGAGCTCCAAGTCAAAACACAGTAGGTCACCATTCTACTTCAGCAGGCTTAGAGGATAAAGCATCCATGAGTAAGAACCTGGCATCCTTCAGAAATTCTTTAGGCTGAGGACACACATTACACAGGCCTTTACCTATACTCTGTACCTGGAACATTGCCCAAAAACCTCCTGTCACAGGAGTCTCTACTCTAACTTTCAGACTGAACAATATCTAAAAGGAAATCAGACTTATAATTAATGATTTTGCAATATGGTCTCTAACCACAATCCTCCCTGGACCTATGAGCTTCAATAGAAAAAACCAAACTTATTTATATGTGGTTTTGGTAACAGAGCACAAGTAACATGTCCAAAACCAGACACCTCTAACTCACATATTTTAATCTCTTGACTTATTTCCTAGAAGACTTCCAAGGCACATAGGTAGACTTTGACTTGATACAAATACTCTTCTTGCATATTCAATATTCAAGATGTTGACATACTTTTAATGACTTCCACTAAATTGTGCACAGCAGCTTTTAATACTGAAAGATCATTAAAAAAAAAAAAAAAATGAAGATCACACCTAACATACTAGCAAAAATCCCCAGCTATTGAATTGTTACAATATATGACTAACATCACATATTTAAATTGAATTCAAGTAAAATACATTTTCACTAGTAGAGTTAAACAGATTTGAAATTTCATAATACTTACCACCAAATGGTATTATGCAGAGATTGTGTTTGCAGGCTAATTCCACAATTTTAACTACATCTTCATGGCAAACTAAAAAAGTCCAAATAGTTAAAAAACAGGATTTGTGCTTAGTACTGTTATTCTTGCTTAGTACTAAATACTGCAGTCTGAATAAGCAGCAGCTCCATTTCTAACACCAGCAAGGAAGACATTTCAAAGAGCCAGGCACTAAATATGAGCTTGGCTCAGAAGTATCAGCCTAAAGCTTAGACCTGAAACAACTCTACACTTGAAGAACTGACTACAAACCCTAGTCTCCTGCTTTACTCATGGACTGATACCTTCTGCAAAATTCTCAGGGCTACCAAACTATTAACAATTGATCTAGGTACCTCGGAGAACAAATCAAGCTTAAAGCTTTTACTGAAAACAGGCTGTCCGATTTATTTTAAGCAAGAAATAAGTCTCTTCTGAGCCCTGAAAAATACGCCTTTTTCTTCCTGGCTGACATTCAGTTTTGAAAGTAGAGTTGCTGGTAAAATTTACTTTTTCAGAATGCATTCTGTAACTGGTCAGAGAGGGAAGCAGAAATGCTTGCGCACAGGCAAAGAAAAGGATCCAAAAAAAAAAAAAAAGAAAAAAGAAAAAGAAAAAGATCAAATACAGTGCATACATGAGTTCGTGCAAACAGCAGAGAATGAGCAGGACTGAATAAACAGGCTTATGAACTCTGGCTACTTTGCTCTTGCCATACAGAGCAGCTTTAAACAAAGGTAGTCGATCTTTTAATTTCAGTTGCTTTTGGAGCTGCACAAAATAAAGCTGTGGCAAGTGCTGTTCATAGTCACCAGTGCTGTTGTGTCAATACCTGTCCTCAAGTAATGAGACGCATCTTATAGTGCCTCTTTTTATGCTTCCCATATGTGATTTTTTTCCCCTAAATAAAGGAAGCAAAATTGAGCTAAGACTAAGCTCTTGTCAGAAATTTTAGGGTTGCTAACGTAACACAGCTATCAAGGTATTAGAAGAGTGATAAACAGGGAAGAGTTGGATTCATACAGCTGAAGAGACATGGACAGGTACTTAGATCAAATGAGATTTTTGTTAGGTACTGAAGAGTTGCACATGGGAAGTAGCTACTAGTGACCAGAGAAACACAACTCAAGTAGAAAATTCACACAAGTGTGCAAATGATCACATAAGTTTAAGTATTTGTATTCTTCTGCTAGATAGAAGCAAGCATATTTTCTGCTACATATTATCATACTAGCTTTAGTTATTACTCTGTTTAAAGTGGGCCTAGCCTGTACTCAGCTTTCACTGCTCTTTCTTCAAGTCAATAATCCTCTGTGAAGTGTTCTGATAGGAGTTACAGGTGTTATACTTATTTTTACTGAAGTACAGTATGTTGTAAAAGAAAGCTCTTTAATACAAACATTTCACTAACCCTCTATCATCACATACTCCTTTAAAAAAAAGCCAACAAGATTCGTCATTTAGACAACTATTCTTGGTGAACATACAAGTTCAAATTACACTGTGGTTACCCAAGTCATGAATTTAGCTGTCAACAGAAACTTCAGCTATATTTAATAATAAATTTGACTTCCCCCACAGAACGATGGGATTTCACAGGCACAACCTGCAATCCAGATGTTAAACAGTCATGATTACTATTCATGAGAAAATTCCTTCAATTTCTGTAAAGACAAGTGAAATCAGTGAACCAAGACAGCTTCCCCGTGACAAGAAAGCACTGGAGTTCAGTAAACAACAGCCTCCCGGATCAGAAGGGAGAATAAGACAGTTAGAGCTTACCAGGCCATACAACTATATCAGGAACTCGCTTAAACATTCCTTCCCTGAGTATAAATATCTCATGTAGGCAGTGACCTGAAACACAAACAATAACAAGTTTAAACAAGAAAGCATCAAAAGTAACACAGTTACATAAATGAGGTTCTCTTACCATGAGCTCTGAATACTCTATCTTCTGCATCCTGCGAGTATGAGATTTTAGTGGCTCTAAGATCCTGAAGAAATTCTTCATTTACAATGGATGGAGGTACATCATTAATATTTAAGGTTGCCTACAAGAAAATAAGTTCATTAAAAGGTGGGTTCACTTTCATAGCATTTCTGTACAAGAGTCACTCAAGTTTCAGAACAGGAGAACTGAAAGTTTTTTACTACTGCACCTTTTATTTTACATACACTCTTAAAAATAAAATCAGGAGTTGCAGGAACCAGCGCTGTGTGCTCGAAGGTCTATCATGAAAACCTTGCTGGCAAGTTAACTGACATCACTTTCAACTCAAAGACAAGAATATGTTTGTAATTTTGTTATAAAGCTATAAGAGAAGACTATGGACTGCTAATGACACATGAAGGAGCTTCCTTACAGACATACCACCAAAAAGCATTTTGTATTAAGTGTTCCACATAGTCAAAGAAACACAGACCTTTTTTTGGACAAGCCTTGTCTATGCTTCTACCAAAAAAAAAAACAAACCACGGAGAGAAGGATACTTGCCCAATCAAGTTTTTTCTCCTGGAATGGAGTTTTGCCTATTTTTGCTCTATACAACCTCCAGAACAGTTGATACTTTTTTCCAAAATGTGTCTTAAGATAAAGGCTTAGAGTATAGCACAGTTACAAGCTACCAGCAAGCAAAACAGAGATTGTCTCCCATCTGCCACCACAGCAGCACTCTATTCTGAATGGCTTAAGTCTCAAAGTCATGAGAGATGAAGAAGGGAAGGTTTAAAATTCAACAGGCAAGTTTCCAGGTAGTTCAGAGATCCACTGTGATGGAACTTGCCTACTAGTGTCCACCATACAAGAAACTATGTAAGATTATGCAGTGATTAGGAGTACTTACAGGGATAAATCAGAAGTAGTATCTACCAGTGATACATTGGCAACTGATCGCTAACAACATTTAGAGGTTCAAAATGATTGCCAAATATTTGTTTCAGAGTTTTCATGTGGAGGAACACATGACCTCATAAAAATAGTTTTAACAATTATTTGACTTCTGGAAGAGGGTATGTGCTGCTCTGCCTTGCTTTAAGGCTATTACACTTGAAAAAAAGGTGTCAGACATCTGAGAGAAAGGCTTTTCCCTCCAACTTATTCACTTTGTCACCTACAAACAAGGAAATTGAGATTAAATGTTGTTCAGGTGAGAGGCACAACACTACTGAGAGATCATGATTTTAAGGGGCAGACACAGTAAGTCACAGAGGAAGTCTTGGATTCTTGCTCTTAGCTCTCACTATTCTGCTAATAATGTGGAATCACACAGTGCTGTTCTCTAACCCAAAAAACAGAGCTCTGACAAATTTAAGAAACATAAGAAACAAGCAAATAGGTACCAAATAAGGATCTTTAAACTACTTTTAAAAAAAATCCTTGCTAGCTGTGCTTACATTTTCTATTTTAAACTTTGGTTTCTTCATGGATTTTCAGACAGAACTATTTCATATTATTTCAAGTTGAACGCCAAGTGCTTGAATATCTTTGTTCTCTAAAGGAACATAAACTACTTGAAAGTTGTAACAATTCCTTGCAGGTAGTTTTAAGTATCCTGATTTTTATCTCTTTTCGACAAGTATTTTAATACGTTAGTTTCTCTTCCAGATTCAAATGTTCATATCTATAAAAATCTTCTGCATAAAGCCAAACTAAAATATACCTTTATTCTTATGGGACTGAAATATTTTAAGATTTGTGCACTGAAAGGCTAGACAGGAAGCCTGTGTGAACCAGGTCTAAACTGCTGTCTGTGTAAGTCTGAAAATCAGAAACATGCCATCAAGCCTTGAGCATCACAGAAGCAGGTATGTTTACGGTTGTTAGTTGTAACAGAAAAGTTGCATGCAACAGGAACCCTCCAGCTGAATCATCTTTAACAGTGTGGTCTTGACTATCACCAAGACTAATCTTCAAAGGAACTGGTTCAGCTATTTACTTACTCTAGAGGTAGTTTTGTGATCCAGACTGGCTCCAAAGGTTTTTTCTATCCATTCCTTAAAAGTTGGTAATACCATACCACCTAATCTGTACCTGAAAAGTCAATATTTCAGAGGGTCATTTTTAATTAAATGATTGTATGTCAATACACTTCTTTTGATCCTATGTATGCACAAAAGTTTTATATCAAATTATTTACCTACAAGCCTACAAACCTTCTACACATTTAGTTTTCAGGTAACTGCACATTTCATTGTATCTAGCTGTTCCGTAATCCACACAAAATCAAACCACCACCATCTTCATTTTATTTTATATTACTTTTCTTTATGCTCTTTGGGAATCATGGCATAAGGCTTTTCAGATATCCCAAACTTCCATACACACACACCCTTTAAGAAAGGTCTCTCCCTTTCAGTGGTGTGGAAAGCAGCATCAATCACAGTTTACATGCCAGTTATAGGTAGAGGACGTGTGTATGGACACACGTAAACAGCAGTCTCAGAGACACAAACCCAGTTCAGCACACCTTACGTGTTGTCAAGAAAAACAGTGTTAAAGGTACCTCCCTCATCATCAAAGCGCAGACTAAGAAAAAAGGGACAGGGTTTACCGATCACTGTCCAGGACAGATCAGCAGTGCAGCTTGCCACACACTGGTACTGGGACCGATTTTACATAAAGTCTTCATCAGTGGACTATTCAACTAGGTGAATAACATTAAGGTCTTTTGGGGAGACATACTACACTGATAGGAACTCAGGACTTTAAAAAACCCAAGCAGACAAATGAAGATGGAAGATAACACATAGACAATTGCAAAGCCATCCCACCCCCACAAAAAAAAGGCATTAGTTGTACATTTGGCAGAATGTAGTGGAGCTAGAGAAGGTTCAGAGAACAACAGTAGAGACCCAGGGACCTTACAAGCAGAGACTAAATGGCCCAGGATTCCTCAGCATGGAGAGACAGTGGAAAAGAAGATACGACTCTCATAATCAATAAAGCAGTAGATAGGCCAAAGAACTATCACTCACCTAATTCTGCAACACAGTAAGGGACACTTGGTTTAAAACAAGTATTTTACACAACAGCAACATGGAACTTGCTGCCATGGGATGCTGTAGAGGCAGATAGTTATCAGCAGACTTGAAAGCTACTAGACAAATTTACCGGCAACAGATCTATAAGTAGATACTGAAAGGATGAAGCATCTTCAACACCTTTGCAGATGCCTAGTCTCCTACTTCCACTTCAAACACTCTCCTTTTGCTACTGGGACAAACTATTCCATAAAAACTACACTGGTGTGGCCCAACAGGGCATTTGTAATATCATCTATCCATCTGAGAGACAGAATACAGATGGGGGAAGGCAGGGAAACTACCATTCTCCTCCCATTCTAGAACAGCAACTATTAAGTACTCATCAGTCAAACAGCAGCCCAAATGCTTCCTCCTGAAAAATGAAATAATCCAAGTCTAACCCTTTACCATTTTTATCTTCACACTGCCTGGATTTTCTGTGCAGCACAACCTACCCCAGATAAACTAAAAATATCAGATAAAAGAATGAGTAACAAAGTGGTAAAATTCAGAATCCTGGCAAAAGGAGACACATCACCAAGATCTTCCTAAACATTATACCGTAAATTGAAGTGCCTAAGACAAGACTTTGCATTTTCATCTGGGCCTGAAAATTAAGAAATTAATGACTGAAATGCTCAACATCCCAGTTAGGTTTTTGCACCTTTGACTCAAACTAGCTCAATACTAGTTCACAAACTCAAAGACCAGAAATGAATTTTTTCTTAAGTACAGGACGTATTTAAAACATATTTCCTTTACCCATTCTTTTTATTCACTCTACCAAAAAAAATGTATTTTTTAAACCAGGGAAGAGACTGCAAGACTACTGCCCAATGACACAGAAAAAGTAAGATATCAAGTGACAGGCCTAAATCCCACTTGAAGAAAGGTGAGAGATCCCCAAGTAGACTTAATTTTAATATAATTTCCCCCCCCAAAAAAAACAAACCCAAATTTCTCAGAAAAACAAGCTTGCTATACAAAGGGCTAGTAGGTACTAATTCAGAAGTGTGGCCACTACAGAACATAACTGATGAGCAGTTTTTATTTTTAAGCACAGGGGATAAAGTAGCTCCATGCACAATGGTTAAGAAACTCAAACACCAACTTTTAATAAAGTTTAATAAAGCATCTTGTTGATGTTTGAGACATCCTCAAAACTGTACAGACCTGCTGCATGTCACTAAGGCTTTATAACACGGTGCAGATTCTTAGTCTGATTCTATTCTCAAAGGGAAGCTTAATGCATATATATATAATACCTCTAATAAACCTTCCAGTAAGCCACCCCATCTATTTCGCTACACAGTAGACTACTGTATATAGAATTCAGTAAACCTGTTAAGTGCAGAGCAACTAATGAGCTATTCTACGAGATAAAGCAAGTTTTTTGCCTTCTTTGGATTAACTGAACAGTGAAAGTTTTAAAAATTCTTTCCAAAAAGATATTAAATAAGATACTTCCTTTATACAAGTTTTCAACTTGCCTTTTTCCTGTGAATTCTGCTTGACCCTTCTTATTGAAGATGAATTTGGAGTCATTATATCCCCATCCATTCCATTTCAGAAGTTCTTGCCTTAAAGGGAGAGATAAGTGAAACTGTTAGTATACTGTAAGCCTGAAATGATTTGCAGTTATATGGCTTTGGATTAACAGTCTTATCAGATAGCAGTTCAAGAAATCAAGTACATATCCAAAAGCGCATAGCTTAACAGCTAAAGGTAATTCTGCAACCACAACCACTACTTCTTCAGATTGCATCCTAAGACTTGAAAGACAAGATGCTTTATAAAAACAACCACCAGCTTAAGTCAATGCACACTCTACGGTGATACTCTCAAATTGAGAAGAGTAATACTTGAAAGATGTTTAAATTATACAGAAATACTAACACACAAATAGGTAATAGCTAAATATTTACAGAATGAAAAAGACACTTAGATTATTATACTCTGTCAAGAAAAAAATTTTAAATGTCGGGTTTTTTGACATCGCTGCTGTAATCCTACTGCATTCGTAATAACATTCACTTGATGAGGCACTCTCAGACATATTTGGATTGAAAACACATTCTGGAAAGCAAAAAAAACCAAAAACCACCAACCCAACAAAAACAAATCCCAAGAACTGCAGTAATAACATACCAAATACAACCAATGTGCCACTGTAAGAAAGGGAACACTAAAAACCTAAACCCACAAGTGCCAAAATACAACCACTAAACTGAAATGCTTTAAGCACAACCATACCAAAACAAGAGGATCTCTTAATTATGATGAAGTCTTGAGAAGTGTATCATTGTAAACATATTTAAGACTTAGGGATACACAAACAGTAAGTAACTTTTTAAGCAAAGTTTGCTATTTATTTACATTAGAAATGAAGTACTAACCTAAACCCTGAACTTCATTAATAAACAGGTATATTCAGGAAGTCTGAAAGCAGATCATTTACCTCACTCTGCTATACACAGTGAATGTAGATCTTACTCTTTGACTGTGTAATATGACCAGGGGTGACATCTTCTGAAAGACCTTGGGATTCAGAGAAAGCACTGCCTCAAGTCAGTTTTAACTCCAGCATTATACACAAGATATCTGTGTGACAACTGATTACCAAAGGTCTTCATTATAAAGATATTAACATAGGTTGCTGCTGTCAGTGTCGTAAATTGGCTTAATCAAAACTCATTTTCTTCAAACTGCCTGTACACAGGTTTTAATTAATCAAATGGAAAAAAGCCATGGACATTTCATTACAATTGTTTGAATCAGATATTTCAGCCAGCCTTTGACAAATCTAGCACTTCAAGCAAACTTCCAATTGCCGAGTACTGAAACTGCTCTATACAGCAGTGTGAAATAGCCATAATATGTTGCTCTTCCACACTGAGGAATTCATTCTAAAATTTCAGCCAAAATTAAACTGTTTGAGCAGACAGTTATCCAGATACAGAAGCCTCCCTGTTTGGCTGCCTCTTCTCTCTCAATAGACTTATCTTTACACATGTAGTGTCCACACAGAAAAGGACATGGGTCCACTCATGTTTGATAGCACAGGACTGCACTGTGCTATTGTACTGACATGAGAGATTATGGAAAAGTGTTCATAATGTACATTATGCAGTCTTGCCAATTTTTACATATTCTATATATGTATTCTATATATGTATAT